TTTAATATATTCTCACTATTATCTATCTAAATTATTATCTACTACATTGTTAAACAAATTACTAAAAATATCGATAATAAACTTTAATTGAATCTTTTCCAATTAAATATTTTTATTTAATATTTAATTTAATTTTCAAATTTTCGCACAACAATTCTTTTTCAATGTTTATTACAAAAAGTTATTTTTCTTGATAAAACAACTTAATGTATTAGTTTAAACTTATCAATTTATATATTCATCATCAATATTCATTTAAAACTTCTTATTGCACGCGCTATCAATTTTTGAATTATCAATTATCAATTTATTAATCCAATTTCAATATATGATTCAAAAATTCCTTTTCCTATATCATTATTGTTTTTTCCGTTCATAAATCTTATGTTGTATAAATAATTGTTCCATAGAAAGTTTTAAGGAAACGAAATTGCTTGCAACGAAATCGACCTGTATTCATATGATTATAGTAGTAATAATAGAAAATTGTAGTAAATTAAGAGGAAATTGTATTGGCCAATTAACCATGTTATCTATGTAGAGTATACATGCGTACTACGTAAGTTACAGTAGTATCCGTGCGAACCTCAGCGCCTTGGGTTAACAGGGTTAATTAGTTCAAAGTAGCTTCCATCTGCGCCGGTGTCTGGACAATGCGATTAAAGATTTTACACGGTTGTTCCACCTCAGTCGCTTCAGTTCTTCGAATAAACGGCGTGACTTATTTTTATCATTTGTTTTTATCAAACTGTTATTCAAACAGATACAATTTAAAAATCGTATTGCATAATTGTATTTTTCAACATATTTGATTATATAAATAATCAAAAATTACATAATTTACATAAAACATTATTCTTTTTAACATAAGTTGAGAATAACGTATTATATAGTAACATATACAGTTTTCTATAAATTAAAAATGTTAATAGTTCGTATAAGAATAGAATATTGTATGTACTTATCGCGAAAATTACTAGTAATTTTCAAATATATTGAAAGATAAATTTAGGTAAAAGAATTTAAAAATTGAAATGTCATTTACTTCCAATACTTATCTTATCAAAAATTCCACGTTATTTAATATAATTTAAACTTAAATTATGATATTTATTTTATCTAGTATAAGATATATTATATATGAAGACAGAAAATGATAAAAATTTCATAATATTGCATTTTTGTTTATCTTCTATTTTATAAAAATTAAAAACCATGTAACTTTAATGCTGTCATAAATTATTACTAAAAATTTATATGTTTTATATAAGTTTGAAAATAACAATATTCAAATAAGCGCTATTTTAAAATTAAATCGTTTGAATAAAACCAGTATGGCTGCAATGATTCTCTATTCTCTATATGAAGAGGTTATGTTTTCATTTCTACAGCAAGTGATATGTATTATTTTACTTATTTGATTTTCAAAAAAATTTGTAACTCGTAAAATATGGTATCAATATTATACAGGAATCTGTTAATTTTAAAACGATTTTTACTTTTATTCATACAATTTTCGTCATGTAAGTATTTTTTAATATATGATCGATTTTCGAAAAACTACACGATTGTCATATCTTTCTCTACAATATAATATCTATTATTGAATGACTCAAGAATGATAATAATACAATTTTTTTTATTTTTTCATATTTTCTATGAAAATTTATAATATATAAATAAATAATATATAATTTTATATAAATTATATGTCAATAATTGAAAACATTTATATGGTCATTTTGAATCAGAATTTGAGCGGCAAATTTAACTGAATTAAAATCAACAAATGAAAATCAACCGAAACGAATACACATATATAGTAAAATATGATATCTAATTAGATATCATATTAGATATCAAATAGCTGTAATTACAAAAATGGAAATAACAGATATCTAATTATCTTGGTCATTATGTTTGATTATATGCAAGTAGTGAAGGATATAATGCAATTTTTAATATTTTATAATTTCTTCTAACACGTATTTCGCTCAATATTCTTTCAAAACTTCAAAATAATTTGTTGCATAGTAAGTTACGATATTATTTTTATTATATTTTTAGTAATAAAGATTATTTATTTATAGGCCGCCGGACGATGGTTAATAAAATCTGGTGCCAAGAAGGAGCAAAAAAATGGTTTTTTAAGGAAAATCAACCATTGCATCCACGAGTTTTGTCCGAACCAAAATGTCAGAAATATGTAGCCACCTGGTATCTATTATATCGTTGGTTAATTTTTATGGCCTGGGCTTGCATTATCATATGTTCAATTTTCGAATTTGGTAGTTACAAACCTATGTTAGCGTATGATAAATGGCCAATTTACATGACCAACTGGGATTTAGTATTAGGATTTACTCAAGCTTTACTTGGCGGTTTTCTCGTATTGAGAAGATGGAATCTGCAAAAAGTATCGGGCTTCGATCCTTCTACGCTAATGCTAGGATCGATGGACAAAGTTTATTTGTTCCTTTATGTTATAACTACTAATACAGCGATTGTAATTACGATTACTTATTGGAGTAGCATATATGATCCTACAATTCATTATTTGGATCCTTTAAATATTATGTTACACATATGTAACAGTATTTTAATGATAATAGATTTTTGTATCACGAGCATTCCGTTTAGATTAAGGAACTTCTGGTGGTGTTTAATTTTAGTTATTTTGTACATTATATTTTCAGTAATATATTATTTAGTTGGTGGTGTAGACAAGAATGGTTACCACTATATCTATAAAATTCTTGACTGGAAAAAACCCGTTCAAGCTTCATTGGTATGTATAGGTGAAGCTGTTTTAATAACCATATTGCATTCTTTAATGTGTTTCTTAGATATAATAAAGAATAGATTGTATTTGAAAATTGACAAGAAATTAGGAAGACCATATTTAGAAACCCAGATGTCTAGAAGAGAAAAAAATATCGATATTGTTTAAAATTTAGCGATAATAGGCAATTTTTTATATATAATTTTAAAACGTATTATTTGTATTTTACAATTATATATTTAAAAATTGTAGTTTCTTATATACTTTTTTAAAGATAAATTAATTTTTTTAATTACAAAATAGCGTAAAGGAAAATGAAAGTGATTTTCTTACATTCTTTAATAAATATTTAATAAGACTTCGACAATAAATATATATACGAAATTGTAAAACTTAAAAATGTACGTTTGTGTATTTATGATTTATATAATTGTATTTATAATTATATTATTACAAAATAATATTCCTCGAATTATTTTTAAATAAAGTTTAAGTTGATATAAATTGAATTTAAACAAATAAATCATATATACTACGACAAATAATTTAATTGTTAGTTACAAAAATTGTAGATAGAATTGTAGCAATATAAAAATTTATTATAAAGAAAATAATGTATTAAACATATTTTTAATACACGCACACATACACGCATTTAGTTTAGTTAGATGAAATTTGTATTTTGTCAACTTTTTTTTAATTATTGTATACCAATCTTATAAAAACATTTTAATTTTTTTCATTTACATCTCAGTATATTTTAATTTTAAATTGAGATTATTGAATTATATTATTATACAATTAGTAAAAATTCTCAATGTATGAAATGTATAGCATATAAACTACTCACATCCTACAATATGTATATTCAATATCTTAATTCTAGTAAACGAATTTTATTATACATATTTATATACATAAGGTTTTAGGAATTTTATATACAATAGAAGAACAATGAATAAACTTTTTGGAAAAATAGCAACAATTTATTAATAAAATAACGATTTGAAGCAATTATGGACTGTAGTATAAATGAATGTAAGGCTAAACAAGCCTTTGATCACAGACCATATTAAAACTTATCCTACATTAAAAGATAACAATGATCAGCTTTTTTCACCCATTTTCAAAGTACACTCACTTATTATTCAAGTTCTCGCAGATTTATAGTATTTTCAGATGGTACTGAATCAAGTAACAGTACCTGATACTCTGTTCCTACTACATCATCTTGATAATACATTGAAGGCAATTCCTCTGTGAGCAATAAACCTTCTTCTAAATCGCTTGTACCTACTACAACATCGGATGATCCGACAACCGAATCTAACACAGCACCGTTTGCTTTTAATTCCACACGTCGGAAAAAGTTAAATCAGTTCGTGCAGATCCTTGATCTTTTTTCATATGTTGATTAGATAATTGTTTATGTGTAGTAATATTTGAAGAAGGTTCCGATGTTTTTACTATATTATTAAGAGGTGGTGGTTCTGGTTCAGGAAGAGAACGATCTGTTTTCGATGAAGTACTGAAAATAACAGCATCATAAGGTGCTACCATTATCATTTGTTCTGTAGGTTTTGATACCGAAGGAGCAGTATATAAAATGTAATCAATATTACACACAGAATCTCCAGATATTTTACCAGTTGTTTTATCGCATTCTTCAACACGAGTACCATGTATCTTTAACATATGTGCTCTAAGCGTAGCTTTCGTAGAATATGAACGTGTACAAGATTCAACTGGACAATGATATAAAGTCTTAGACTGATCTCGTGGAGGCACTGTATCGTTTTTAATTTGATTTTCATTACTATCCTGAATTATTGTATTATTATGTTCAGTTTTTTCTTTTATTATAGATGTGTTCAGGCAAGCTACATTTATATTCAGATCTATTGACTTTCTCTTTGATTTCACAACCGGATTTACCCTGGAACATTGTATATCTTTCACTTTGCTCCGTTTTTGACTATTGATGTTATCATGTGTATTTGTCTCTATTTCTTCTTTAACTTGATGCTTCTTTATATGAACATACAAACTACTTTTTGCAGAAAATTTCGCATTACATATACAACATTGAAAATATCTTCCTTCTTTATGCGTTAATCTATGTTCCTTAAGATGTTCTGATCTCATAAATGCTTTCCCACACGAAGGAACATCACATACAAATTTCCGTTCATTAGTGTGTTTCTTTTGATGTCTTTTTAATTTACTAGAGGAAGAGAATGCCCATTGGCAACCTTGAAATGTACAAAGATAGGGTTTACAGCCAGTATGTGAACGTATGTGTGCTTTTAGCCTACAAGGCTTATCAAATACTTTACCGCAACCTGGCCACGAGCATTTTACATCTACTTCTTTATAACTATGGCATCTTTGATGCGACGTCAAAGCATTACTACTATAATACCTTTTGCCACATCCTTCATGTTTACAAATATATGGAGCATGACTTTGATCATGAGTCTTCATATGCAGTTCCAAGGCTCTTTTTGTCTGAAACTTTTCTTGGCAGTCTGGTACTTGACATAATATTCTATTTGGGCGACTATGCAATTTTGCATGACTCCATAAATTATAAATTGTAGTAAATCGACGATTACAACCTTCTACCTCGCAAACATAATCTTTACGTTTCAAATGTGTTTCTTTGTGTCTTTTGAGTTTAAACTCTGAATAAAATGCCCAAGCACATCCTTCAAAATCACACTGAAAAAAAAAACAAACATAAATAAATATATTATATTTCTATTTAATTAAATCTTTATTTGAGAAATTAGAAGAAAGTAAAAATAAACAAAAATTGTAAAGATTTGTGAATTAAAGATATGTACACAATTTATATACCTTGAAAGGTCTTACACCATAATGTGCTAGTAAATGGCCCTTTAGAGCATAAAGTTTACTAAATTGTCTATTGCAATCATCACGTGGACAAAGCCATATTTTTCCATTTTCGTTCACAGATACTGGTTGTAGATTATCATCTGTAATACCTAATTCTTCTAAAGCATTAGATATCACCATTTCATGTTGATTACTAGGATTTTCTGTACTATGTTCCATTGTTCCATTCCACACAGTTGATGTTTCAATTTTTGGTAATTTTGGAAAATTTCCTGTAGCTTCTATAAGTTCAGAAGTTTTTCCTTGATAAATCTGTTCTTCAGTACCTGTATTTATAACAATTTGTGTCATATTTGAAATTTTATCTGTTGATATAGCTACAACAGCCATTGTGCTATCTTCAGTATCTACAACATCTTCTCCAGATACTTTTATTTCATTGTCTAATTTCTTTTCTATCGTTTCCGATATTTTCTTACGTTTCTTAATAATACGTGGCTCTAGCTTTACTTTAGCTTTTGTTTTCAATTGTTCAATTATAGCATTTTCAGAATCACCATCAACCAATTTTGTATCTGTCAATTCATGTATAGAATTCTCTGAATTGAGATCTTGCACATAGAGATTCGTAGTATCATTACACAAGCTATTATCTTTTCGCAATTCAATTTCTTTATTCACATTATTTATATTATGAAAATCATCTACAACAACTTGTGTAGATTTATTCTGCAATTCCTGATTATCTGGGATCATAGCTTTCTTCATAAGCGAAGTTTGTTCAGTCTCTGTACATATTTCTTCGTCATCCCTATTAGGGACACTTAAAGTAGGTTGAGCACTCGTTGACGGTAAAATTTCACCGGCAACCATCATGTCATCGGGAGATAACGCCAATGGATCTAAATGATCCAATTGAAATTCTGGTAATATAAAGCTATCTTTTTCATCGAGTAACTTCTCATTTTGGAGCTCGTGAAGTAAAGGATCATAACCTAAATTGAGTTTCTTGTCAGACAAATCGATGTCGATTGATAATCCGTCAGGGTCCTTTTCCAGAAAAGCGTGCTGGAGTTCCTCGCCCAGGTATCGGTCGACGCCCTCCTCGACTCCAGATTTGATCGCGTCGAGGTCCATGCTCGACACGGATTCCGTCCGCGTTTTTAACCATTTCTCAATATCAGCTACAGTCTCGACATCGGCAGCTTTACCGATCACGTCAACGTTCGATTCGCCTGTAACACTGTTCGTCACTTGGTTATTTTCAATCCACTCTCTTTCGTGATACTGTACACTCTCGTCGTTACTCCTCGTTATCTGTTTTTCTTTTTTATTTGTTTCCTCCCTTTTGTCCTCATCCGGTGAAGCGGGTAGCAAATTTAATTGGTTGTAACCTACCGATCCACCCACAATGCCGACCTCTCCGTGCGCCCAACCGCGAACCGAACACAAACCTCGTCGATTACGAAAGATTCGCGGGATTTGTTTTGACTTGCAAACGGAGGGAGTTCCTTTACGAGACATTTGACTGCCCCGTAGCCAGCTCTGTAGGGGTTCACACACAGCAACAACGCCGCCATCGAAGGAAATCTTGTAGCTCATAGGCGGCCTACCGTATTAAGAATTGAATGAAATTTACAAACATAGATGGCACTATATGACTTTGTAATTTCCCGCGATTTTTTAACTAAGAACTTGAATGCAAATTATAATTATTATTATTTTTATTTATTTATAAAAATATTTATTATAAAAATATTTTCTTTATAATCTCTCACTAAAATTATATCATATTAAGTTCCTATTACCTATTACCTCGTATTCAATAATAGTTAATATTTGAATAATTAACTTATATATTAATTATATGCATTAAAAATATTTTATAAGATTACACATAGTGAGAGAATAGATTCGATAAACGAATCTTCGATATTGTTTTCTAATAAAATGATTCAAAATTCTTTTCTATTTCCTTTATTGTAACAGTTTTCGTTTATTTAAATTCCACTGCTGCGCTGTCGCCGAGACGTGGTTCGCGTCAAAACACTCGCGTCATGTATCAAAGTACACTATGTTTTGCAAAATTTCCGTTTTAATGATTTAGATTGTAAAACCGAGAATATAATACTTATATTTTCTACATTAAGACACATTACAATTATGAAGAAGAAATGATGAAAATGTATTCAACTGATGTCCAATATCATTTCTTTACTCGTCAAGAATTAATGTAAACAAGGAAAACAAATAATGGGAGAAGGACAGAGATAGGGTAAAAATATTGAAATCAGCGCCATCTTCAGAGTGCCGCGAATGAAACACAAAAAGAAAGGACAGAAAATAATTGAAAAAGGATAGAGAATAGAATGAGAAATGATCGCTAGCGTCATCTCTTATTCTTCAAAGAATTATTTTTTAACATTCAAGAGATGGCGTTGACGATTAATTCTTACTTTACCTTATCTTCGACACCAAAGATGGTGCTAGTGATCAATTCTTATTCTATCTTTATCTTTTTTTAACTATTTTGTGTCCTTTTTTATGTTCATTTTCGGCAGTTTGGAGATGGCGCTGATTTCAATATTTTTATTCTATCTCTGTTCTCCCACTATTTGCTCTATCCTTGTCTATACTTGTTTTAGAAGATTTATAGATTCACGGCTCCAATGTCTGAATAAAAAAAAAAAAAACTTTATTGCCTTCTTTGTCTAATCAATTGATTAAAAAAGTTTATATTAATCCAATTTTTAAATATTGTTATTTACAATTTTTATATATTGTAAGGGATATATACGCGATATTAATGTATTCGTGTATCTTTGAAGGATCGATTCGGATAATTTTATTTATTTATCCATTATATATTTAATAATGATTGTAATTCAAATTTACAATAATCAAATTATGTACATGTTTGTGATTAAAAACAATTTTCGATTATAAAATTAATTCTATAAAAAATTCAGTTTATTCGGTACTTTTTCTTTTTACTTTTTACTTTAATATTATATAAGATTATTTTTTTTGAACATACGAATAATATTTCACAAATATAATTTAATCGTGCGACGTACAATAATGTAAATCTTTATGTTAACATACGTTCCAAATTTGTTTTTGAAGTTTACACTTGGCTATTTAGTCACAGCAAAATGAATTTCAATTTCATTCAATTAGAAGGAGAACACGAATTATAATCAAACATATCTTTTTGTTTAACTTGCATTTTCAATTGCTCTATCCTAGATAATTTCTGACCCACTTCATTTAAATCGATTTTCTTATCGGATGATCTTTTCTTTTGTTTAGCTTGTTCGCAGATTTTCAATATTTCTGGTTTCTCCTTCACTTGTTGTTGGGGAATTTTATGAGAACGAAAATCGTTATTCATTGGTTGAATAATATCCTCCGATCGAATCCCCGACAGACAATTGAATGGTTTTCTTTTTCTTTCTTTCGGCCTCAATTCCTCATACGGTAATTTACACGGTTCCAGTTGCTGTTTCACATTTTCTTTACACTCGTTTAGCCGATTGATGGTCGTGCGGTTAATCGATGTCTGTATTTATAAATTGATTAATTTATTTATCGATTCGCAAACAAACAAACTTTAATCCTATTCCTCATTTTTTTAAAAATGAAACTATCATTATTTCCCTTGTCCTACGTTGAAAAATTCGCTCGAAAAAAAAAAATCTATTTCCAAGTTTCGTTTGAAATTCGTTGAAAAAAAAAAAAAAAGAAAGAAAATAAGAAACCAATTGGCTTACCAAACTGGCTGTGCTCAATATTTTGGACAATGCCGCTCTAGGCATCTTGTAGGCCGGCGGAGGCTTCGGTTGAGGTTCCATGCAACCTTTTGGACACTGTTTTATCGTTTCTGTGTACAAAAATACATCCCCAGCTGTCAATTCGTAACGTGAATCCTGCAACCTCGGATCGCATATCCTTTTATTTCTCTTCGCCCTGAGCGCCAGTTTGCAAGTGCACGGGTCAGGCCAAAACCTCTTTGGATTTGGCCCAAAGATCGTCTCCCACAACGTGTACTTCTCCTCAACCGGTTTCTCCTCCTCCTTGCAATTATCCGGCTTCTTTTTCGGCTCTGGCTTCTTTTTAAACGTGAAAAATTTCCTCCTCTTCTTTTTCTCTTCCTCGAACTCGATACACTTTGACTCGCAACCCTTGCAAACGAGATCTATGCGAGGTGGCAAAGGCAATCCGCAGTTACCGCTACCGTATTCGACCAATTTCTTCTTCCAGAACCAGAAAGATCGGGCATCTACGTTGGGCCCGATACATGTTATCATACGACTTCTGAGCAATATTGAGGGATTATAGCTTTCCTGAGAATAGTAACTCTTTTATGCATTAAATATCGTTTCGTTATAAAAAAATATGAGTTTAACTTTTTTTTTCTTTTTCTTTCTTTTCTTTTTTTTTTTTTTTTTGAGACTGATCACAATAATTTATTCTAAGATGTAGTAAAGTATAGATAAAAATTATTGTTGATCTTTTCTTATTATTCTCTTCTTTCTTTTTATATATATATATACTCGAAAAAAAAAAAAAAGGATCTCGATCTATCCTATTTCGAAATCCTATTATTTTATCTATTACGAATTAAAATATGCATATTATAGATCTTGGTTGAAAAGAAAAAAAATTTCTTTCGAAAAGGGTTAAGCGAAAAATTCGTTCAGCTTGTCGAGATAACCTATTCCTTTCTAATAGATGATTAATTCACCGATATTGTTCCGTTACTGAAAACGATACCTTTATGAATTTTATACCGGAAATTTGGAATTTTGATTTGAAAGATGCCATGATGAGGAAAGGTTTTTTTTTTTGTGGACGAAAACGTCCTTTTTATTATCGTGTGGGTTTACATTTGAAATTTGGTCCTTCAATATGAATGAAACTGGTTCAAAATGCTAATGAAACAACGAAATATCGATGACTCCTGTTTCAATTAATTTGTCCATCGATATTCCAATTTCAAATTTTCGAAACATCTCGCACAACTTTTCCTCAACGTATAACATCAGAAACTCCTCCTCCTCCTCCTCACCCTAATTTCCTTTTCAATTAATATCCATTATTACTAACAGATCGATTCGATTGTTATTCAAACAAAATCTCAATTCCTGTGTAATAATAATAATTCAACGAATTAGAAAATCGTACGATCGTGGAAAGAGCGGGGGGGAGAGAGAGAAACGAACGATTCGAAGTTCCCGCTATTCGATCTCCTTTGATCATCCACCGTTTCCGGCCTCCTCCTGTTCAAACCTTCGACTAAACCTCAGCCACTGTTAATTCCGGAGGAAACATCGAGATTACCGATACTCAGCCAGCAAACTGATGAAACGTTCCGGAAACGTCGATATCCTAGCGCTCCTCTCCTCTCCTATGGAAAACGAGCAGGGAGGAAGTGAGGGACGAAGAGGAGGCCGAGGAACTCGAAACTTGGAGAAGAAGATACGCACAAGAGATTTCGAAGCGTTATCGGATCGATTCGGTTTAAACGGAATTCTTTTCGGTTTCACGGTTACAGTACGCCTCATAAGTTGTGCGTTGCACAACATCATGGATTCGTCGGTTCATCGAAAACGATTGAGAACGAGAGAGAGTATTTTGGCGCCAAGATCATGAGATCGATCAAACTTTCTCAAATTGTGCGATCACATCGATCGGTTTCGCATTGCTCGATTATTATAATAATAATAATAATAATAATAATAATAGTCGTTTGTTAATAAAGTTTTTCAGATCCGTGTTTATTCCTTCACTATAACTTTTAAATATCAGACTAATTTACTCGTGTCGGAAAATAGAAAACAGATATTTTCGTATATTTTTATACTCGAGTGAATTCGATTAGAAATTTGCACTTCGAAGTCAATGAAAATTCAATTACAATAAATTTTATACAACATTATTTTTAATATAAAGTCAAATAATCGATCAACTTGATAAAAACTTAACGATAAATTCTATTGTTGAGAATCGGCCCCTTTTTAAAATTGAAATTTATTATTCTTAATATAAAATTGGAAAAGACAATGATGACGTCGAACAAATCAAAGCCTCGATTCAATCGACGAATTCAACCAACAATAAAGGCTTAACAATCAATCATTCTCACTTCAAATTTTATATAACGTTATTCTTAATGTTAAGACGACCATCCTTCTCACTGTTTAACGAAATTTCGCACAACTATTCATACAATTATTCTTAACGTTAAGACGATCATGTGTACTTCGAATACTTCGAATTTTATAATTATATTAATAATTATAAAATTGAAAAAAAAAAAAATGACAAGATATATCTTGGAAAGAACGAAACAATGGAACCGATCGTCGAATCAACATCCAACAACATAGAAACGTAACGATCAAGCCTTGACCATCACCTAGAATCGGCCCCCCACTTCTCTAGCCACCACCTCTTCCTCTAATGTATCAGCTCCGCGGCTGAACGACGCTGTAGACGTTGCACGCAGCCCACCGCCACTCCATCCCCTCCTCCGCGCGAGGAGGGTATATCCCCCAACCGGCGATTTTCCGGCGGCGAGTCGCGGTGAGGAAGGGTGTTTACTCAAGACACGACAATTCATTACGTAATTGAATTGAATGAGGCCCCTCTCTCTCTCTCTCTCTCTTCTTTCTGCTTTCTCCATTTCCCCATCTTGCTTGCGCATCCTCCTTGTCTAGCCAAGAGATAACGGGCACGGCACGTGTAGTAGAAACGACGGTGGTTGCGCGTGTGCGGTCTATTTGGCCAAACGGAGGAGAGAGAGAGAGAGAGAGAGAGAGAGAGAGAGAGAGNGTGGGAAGGGGGAGAGATCCAC